GTCTATAAGGTTGGGTTGTTTTAAGGATTAGAGATGATGTATATGAAGCAACTTGGAAAGCACTCAGCGACATTAAGGCCTGCCGCTTGGCAGCAGTGTTAACAGCTGACCAGACCTAGGTCTGAATTGTGCATGGTGACTTATGAGCTATGTGATCCTGAAAGCATTAAGTGTGGTGCCTGGCACATAGTAACTGCGCAGTAAATGTATGTATGTGGTACAGACATGCACATATATGTACATGTACAGATGTACACATATAGAAACACAGTGTTGGTTGTTTAGCCAGATGGAGGATGTTCTGAGGGTCTAGGACTTCTCATTCATTCCATATCCACAGTCCTACCATCCGTTACCCCACCCACACCTCCCCAGCAGGGCTGTGATTTTACCTGCTGTTATGTTAGTTCTTGATCTCACAATAACGCAAGGAGCTACCCTTAAATCTTAGGGCTGCCAGAAGGTTTCAGGGACCCTGGCGTTGGAGCATAAGTGGCCCCAGTTCCCAGGAGAGGGAAGTAGATGCTGAGGGTGCTTGGGACTGTGACTATTTGCCATCCAGTACAGAAGTATTGTACAACTGTAGTCCCCCTGTACAACCAGTACACTTGAATCACTGTGCCTGAACTATCTCTATAGCACAAGAGTAAATGACTTGCTCCCCCAAGCTAGACTTACGTTTGATTAAGGAGTAAAGTATACAGTCAAGTGACTCACAGAGGATGCCAAGCACTTGCCCTTAGTGAGAAGTGTGCATAATTTATAAGTCATGGGCAGGTTTAGACTGAAGAGTAGAAAACAGGGAAGGTGGCGTTCGAAATAGAAAGGCTTAGTGCCTTTCAGCTCCCATGTCCCAGAAGCCATCTACATGAACTTTTAAACACTACCCAACAGTATCAAAAGGACAAGTTCTTGGATCACTGTAATGAACAAGTCTAGAGTCAGCAATTTCTTAGATGATGTACAGACCACTGCTTACTCGTAGAGTGAAGTAAACATTTCTATTTCACCCTGGCAACCAAGGAACCAGGTCTGGGCTCATATAAAAACTTTACTTTGGGTGTTCTAAAATTGCGCAACCAAATCCACATAACACTGTGTTCATATCAACGTGAATGTGGGTGAGTAGAATGTAAAGAAAGTTGGAGGATGGATATTTAGTAATGCTGTGGACGCCTTGGGGTATAAAGAAATGGTTCAACAAACATGCCTGATTCAGGAGGTAATCTCATAAACAGATGTTTGAAATGTAACATGGTAAATTTTATGATCAATGTTTATGAAAAATATTACGATAAAGTTTTTTAAAAAAATCTTAGGCCTGCCCAGGAAACCGTTTTAGATCTGCAGAGCAGAAATTATTGAAGAAATTGTCTTGGTCTCAGCTATGGAATGGAACTTCATCTTTATCAGCCAGGAGCCTGCCATCTTTGTTTAGCCTTTTCTGAAATTAAAGAGATTCTGCTACTGATGCACTTACTTGTCCTCTGCCCCAAGTAAACAAGAAGAGACAAGGTAACATAGTGCCCCAAATCTTGGGGGCCACACTGCTGCACCTGAGACCTGGCTCTGCCCCTTCCTAGTTTTGAGACCTTGGTGAGTTATATAAACTCTCAGTGCCTCAGTTTGCTCACCTGTAAGATGAGGATAGTAAGAATACCAACTTTAAGGTGGTTGTAAGGGTTAAGTGAGTTAATAGATACAAAGCACTTAGAATAGTGCCCAATGCCCTGTAAATATTAACTTTGATTTCTGATTTTAGGCATTGGGGAGCCAAGAAAAACAATTTTTTTAGCTTGGCTTATATTTTAATTTTCCATTTGATAAATTTTACAGAAAAGTTACTAGAATAGTACAAAGGACTTCTGATGCCTTTTTCTCAGATTCTCCTTGTTAACATCTTGTCCCATTTGCTTTATCATTTCTATGTGCTCATGTACTTGCTTGCCCACCCTCTACACACACACACACACACACACATACACACACTTTCTGTGAACCATTTGACAGTAAGCTGTAGATATCATGCTCCTTTATCCATAAATATTTACTGTGTGTTCCTAAGAACACAGACTTTCTCTTATATAACCCAAGACATTTATCTACATCAGGAACTATAACATTGATACAGTACTACTATCTGATTCATGATTCATATCAAGAGTTAACCAATTGTCCCAATAATGTCTTTTACAGACTTTGTTGTTGTTTAGATCAGAGATCTAACCCTAGGCCACACACTGTAATCTGTTTTCAAGCATTTAGTCTGTTTTATTGTATGTATGTATATGTGTATGTATGTATTTGAGAGAGAGAGAGAGTGGGTGGGGGGGGGGGGGATGGCAGAAAGAGAGAGAGAGAGAGAGAGAGAGAGAGAATATCCCGAGCAGGCTCCATGCCCAGCACAGAGCCTGAGGTGAGGCTCTGTCTCACAACCCTGAGATCATGACCTGAGCTAAAATCAAAAGCTGGATGCCCAACCAACTGAGCTACCCAGGCGCTCATAGTCTGTTTTAATCTTGAATAGTTCTTTGGTTTTACCTTTCACCATCTTGAATTTTTTGAAGACTATAGGCTTGCGTTGGGGGTGGGAGGGGTTGTTTTGTTTTTTAAGTAATCTCCACACATAACTGGAAAGGCTCAAACTCACAAACCCTGAGATCAAGAGTCACCTCCACTGATCAAGCCAGCCAGGCCCCCCAGGCCACTTTTTTATAGCATGTTCCTCAATCTGGGTTTGTCTTACCTTTCCCTATGATTAAATTCAGATAATACATTTTTGGCAAGAATATTGCAGAAGTGTTATTTATGATCTTCTCAGAACATCTTCTTAGGAGGCATGTGTCATTTTGTCCAATTCTTGGTGATGGTAATTTTGACTACTTAGTTTAAGGTTTTCACTAATAGTAATTTGTGGAGAGATACTTTGAGGCTATGTAAATATCCTGTTCCTTATCAAACCCTCACCCACTAGTTTTAGTATCCATTGATAATTCTTGGCAGAATCGATTGTTGTGATGGCAGCAAGATGGTGATTTTTCTAATTCCATCATTCCTTCTGTGTCCATTAATTATTATTCTGTTGGAGGAGAGGAGAACTTTCCCTTCTCTCCCCCCCCCCCCCCATCTAATTATTTATATCAGGATGCACTCACAGACTTTGATTTCATTCTATAAATATTCTGATAACTAACATCATCATGTTGTTTATGATAAATTTGGTGCTCAGACTGCCCCAGATTTGGCCAGTGGGAACACCTTCAAACTGGCTCCTATGACCTTTTAACAAGTCTCCATCATTTCTTGAGTGCTTCCTTGATTTTTGTGACAGCATGTTCCAGGCTCATCTTACGTTTTTCCTGCCCCATCCCTAGAATCAACCATTCCTCCAAGGAGTCTTGGTTCCTCATACTAGAGAAGAAAAATGTTTGCTTCCCTGTCAAAATTACCGTCATCAATGTTACTACTGAGACAGTCTCATCTCAGAAGAAACCAGTTGGCTCTCCTCCCATGGACTGTCTAGGCAGATCCACCCTAGAATGGATGGGCCTTCGTCTCATCCCACAGTCCTGCTCTCTGCCTGGTGCAGAAAGAAGGCTGCTGAAGTGTTAGGGCCCGATTGTGATAGGTCAGTGATTCCCCTCTGTGTGAGAGCCCAAGAAGAGATAGACTTCAGCTCTCTTCCTCATGGTTTTCAAGTAGTGATGGGCTTTAAAAAAAAAAAAAAAAAAGAGGTGGAGGTGGGCATCTAAAAATCTCATAAAAATGAAACTAGGTACTATAGCTACATCCCTGTTCTATTAACATGTGTTTATGTATAGTACTTACGGCTCACTCAGCAGCCCAAGGCTGTTTATGGCATATGATTCATAGTGGCATAAAAAGCAAGGCCTGTTCCCAGACAGACATGCTTGAAATAGAACTTTCTCTTCTGCAACCCGTCACATGTGGTCATGTATTTATTTGTCAGCTTTGGTGACAAAGCACTTCAGGTTGTCCCCAACACCAGGGGCTGTTACCTATTGCTCCTTCAGGTAGACTTACTCCTCTTTACTAGGCAGGCAGCTATATTTTCAGTATTGATTGCAAGGCCCATTCTGAGAGTAATTAGGAAGAAAAGCACAACATAGTCGTACCTCTTCTGGGACACCAGTGATTGGAGGGGGGCGGGAGCATCCTCCCTGTCATAAGGAATTCCAGATTCCTTATAGGAATCTGTCGATTGAGGATCCTGTGTGCTTATGAGCTCAGTGATCCAAATGGGATTTGTGGAGTGCATTTCTCTTTTTTCCCTGTTCCTTCACTTTTAGCCCAAGAACTTGAATGTCTTTGTCACTCTGGTCAGGGGTTGGTTCTGGCAGTAGCAGCCCAGCAGCAGACTAGGAAGCAAGCTAATCTAATCTACTGAGCTAGCATAAGACACACGGATGTGGCTCTAATTAGGGTGGATTCTACTAATTTCAGACTAGAAGCTATGGAGTAACAGCAGCTTGCAATTTTAGGAATCCTTTGGCGGGTGACTTGTGTGGACCTGGGAGAAGAGGCTGCTGATCTGGGCCTGAAGGCATAGGGGTTGCTCCCCTACCGTGTCCCACACTGAGAATAGTCCAGCTACTCTAATGCTGGTCAGCCAGGCATGGGCATGGTGTCTTGCATGGGGAAGGAGGGGCCTGGCTGTCAGTGAGACGATGAGAGACACAGGCCCCCAGGTGGTTGTTTGCACCTGCTCAGGGAAAGACTTGGGGAGAGGGACTCCCATGGTTGCTTTTATAGTTGTGACCTCCACAGGGAAAGGAAGACATGTGGGCTCCCCATGGCAAGATAAGGACTGGTCTGGCATCTCAGAGTCCTGTTAGTCAGCAAAGAGGTGGTGAAGACAATGGAGAGCCAGGGCACAGAGGGAGGGGGGTGTTTTTGAGCTTCCCATGACTGTGGCTGCTTTTGTGCAGAGAGATTCCTGGTCACCACAGAGTGTGACGGGCAGGTTTATTTAATTGCAGGCACCCCAGAGCTAAGCGCAGCTGAGCGGAAGGAGCTGGAGAACAAGTTGAAGGAGCGGGAGGAATTCCTAATTCCCATTTACCATCAGGTAGCCGTGCAGTTTGCTGACTTGCACGACACACCAGGCCGGATGCAGGAGAAGGGTGTTATTAACGTAAGTACAGTGGTTGCCACTTCTCCTGACTTGTCAAAGACCTGAGAGCAAGCGAGTGTATGTCTCATGCTCATCGGCTCACAAGTGGGGATGGATTAAAACAGCTTGTGCAGATCAAATCGTTTTCAGGTTTTTTTGGAGAGACTTTTTCCTTTTTTTGTATATCCATTATCATCCCCAAAACAATTTTATGATTTACCTTCCCTTGGACACCTTGGGAGGCAAACTACTCCATTTTGCTGGTGGGAAACTGAGTCTCATGTGCTTTCACTGGGGGCAGCTGCCCACACTGTGGATTACACCAGTGTCAGGGTTCCAGCAGCAGCAAATTCACATGTAATCTGTGTACATGTTGCTTGAGCCATTCTGCTGCAAACCAATTCCACACTGTCCTGTTTATCTGGAAAGTCATAGCCTCCTCCCTAGAACATCTCAGCCATGTGTGGGGTTAGCATTAACGAGGCCCATTGCTGTGCACAGTGCTCTGGAGAGGGCACTGCAACTCTAAACTGGGGAGATAGCTGCAGGTGCTGAAAGTCACGGCCTGCTCTTAAGTCTCTGAAGGGCTTCCTAGAGGATAAGTTTTTGTGCCTGTGGAGTTCCCTGTGGACTGGGCACTGAGCAGGGATTAGGGCTGAGGTGACTAAGCTTATTCTTGTCTGTATGTAGGACATCCTGGATTGGAAAACATCCCGTACCTTCTTCTACTGGCGGCTGAGGCGTCTCCTGCTGGAGGACCTGGTCAAAAAGAAAATCCACAATGCCAACCCAGAGCTCACTGACGGTCAGATCCAGGCCATGTTAAGGCGCTGGTTTGTAGAAGTGGAAGGAACCGTGAAGGTAGGTGGGTGCCCTAGGAGGAGCCTTGGTGCTGTGCTCCTCACCCCCACCTGAGGATCCCCAGGCCTCTGAAGGCAGAAATGGAAGGGAAACATAGAGACCTAAGCCCTATTTCCTCCCCATACCGTAACATGTCATGATGGGTTGTTAGAAGAGGTCATCGGACATTTTTTGTTGCTCACTGTATCATTCAGCAAACCTTTTTGCGTACTTTACTATATACCAGACACTGCATTAGGCCCTAAAAGAAAGAGGCAGATACTGTTCCCATCCACACAGAGCTTACCATCTCAAGGGGGAGATGGATTAGCTGAGAGGTCATGTACAACAATGTGGCCGATATTAACCACAGCAGACCCAGCACATCATGGAGCACAGAGAAGGACACCTGAGCCACTCTGGGAAGGAGGAGGAGAGTCTAGAACTTATAGAAGTGGTGTCTCAGCCATCCTGAAAACAAAGTAGGCATGAGCCAGAAGAAAAGGGTGGGGTTAGGTTGGGGACATCAGGGGATCAGGGGAAGGTAGGAGGAATGTTCCAGGAAGAAGGAGTGGCACGTTTCAAGGGCTGATAGCAAGAGTTATCACACATCCGAGGCACTGTAGATATTTCAGGATGGCTCAGATCAGAATCTGCAGGGCCGTGGAAGCTGTGTTAAGGGTCTGGACTGAGGTCTATGGGAAGCCACTGAGGTAGTTAACGCAGTAGAGTGACATACTCTGATTTGTATTATAGGAAGACCACTCAGGAGGCTGTGTGGAAGGTAGAATTGAAAGGGGTCGGGAGCAAGAAGCCTAATTGAAGGTGATGGTTATTTAGGCAGGAGATGCTAGGGCTTTAGCTAAAGATCTTCTGGTTTCACATCTGAGCTGGAAGGAAATGTCCACTCTGACTGCAAGGAACCATGAATCCCTCATCTTCTTGGGTTGATCTGGTGGAGAGGACACATGCCTTGGACCAGTGACCCCGCTGGGGGGAGAGGTCTGAGACCAGGGTGACCAGGCACTAGCATTTGCCCCTGGAATTATGGGCTGCACAGGACAGTCTGTGGGAGGATGGGAAGAAAGAGTTGGAACTTTTATTTCTCCATGTCCTTTTACTAAGAAAAAGAAACTAACTGTTCTTAGTAGTTATTATATGGGTTAAAAGTAAATCATACGCATCATATATAAATTTTATCAGAATATTGGTGGTGTATGCTGAGAATGTCTTTTCCTGATAGCTGTTTTGATCAAAATATTTGGTGCCTATTAGGTTAGAGTACTGAGGGAGGGCAGGCCCGTCAGCCTCTTCCCTCAAAGTGTTGGCTGATGTCCCTGCTGACTGTTCTCAGGAAGGAACTCCAAGATTTGTCGTCATTGTTAAACCCCGTGAATCTGGGTGCTTCTAAGATTCACCTCTGTGTTAAGCCTACCCATTTCTTTACGACTGAAAAGCTTCTTTAGATAAATATTTCAGATGTGCAGTGGGTGAGCACAGCCTTATGCGACGTCTGGTTCAGGTTAAGGTCAGTTTGTGGCATCATAATTGAGTGAGACAATTTTGTCAGTGGCTACTGGCAGCTTCTAGTGGAAGTTGGCATTGAAAGTCACGCAAGTGTAAAATAAGAGGTTGTTCTCGAGTTAAGAGTGGCCGGCTAGGTAAATGGAGTGTGTGTGTGTGTGGCCAGGAGAGGCCCGCACTGCCTTCCTACCACATTAGTCAGTAATGGACGTGCAGGGCTTCAGTAAGCACAGGGATGAGGAGAAGGAATAGCTTCCCTCCGAGCATGGAGTGGATAGGCCCTTCCATTGTTCCTTAGCATCCTGTATCCAGGGAACAGTGTGTCTGGAGAAATAGGTCATTGCCATCTTGTAGATATGGAGAGAACTGTTGGCTGTATGTACACAGACTCCATGCTGGAAATCAAGTGTGGGAGACCACCCCAGCCCAATAGGTCAGGAGGAGGCTGCCTGAGACACTGGGAACCAACTCTACCCAAGGACTAAGGCTGGTTCCTCCCTCCCGTCTACAAAAGACAGCATTCCCTTGAGCTCTTTAGTCCAGGAGGACAGCTGAGGAGAAGAAAGGAAGGGCAATGATGCTATGATGTGGCTTTGAAACCTCCTTCCGTATTCTGCAGGCTCAGCAGGACCTAGTTTAGTGTGGGGTGGGTGATAAAATCTGTAGCGCCCTTGAGAGAAGAAAGTGTTGCAGTGTTCAGAAGCCGTCTGTGCTGCCTTCATAGAATCTGCTCCGTGTTTGGCAATGGCTTAAAACCTTAAAAATGTTGCCAACCTCCCCCCACTCTTTTTTTGGTTCTTCAAACAGTGATAGATAGCGTGCACTGTGTCTCAGGTGCAAACACTGCCTGAGTCTAGACCTTGGCTTTGCACCAGGAAGTGACCCTCTGATCCTCATTGTGGTTACTGGTAGGGAAAGACATTTAGTGATAGGCATCTGCTAGCCATGTGTGTGTTCTTTTGTCTCAGAGAATTTATTTTTTTGTTTTTGTTTTGTTTTGTTTTGTTTTTATCTTAATCCTGAAGAAAGAGATCTGGGGACAGAAAATTTGAAGACACTGTGATGTTATGTAACTTAGCAGTGCAATTCTTTTGTTTCCCATAGAGGAATCTGTTACTGTGAGTTACAGGATTTTGTTTGAATCCACTGGGATAGTCCTGTTGTAGGAAATAGTACGGTTTGTGGTTCAGAGTTTCACTGCAGAGAGGAGAAAAGCATGGCTGCAGTTGCCTGAAAACAGGAACAAGAACTTGGGTTTAAGTTGGGTCATAAGAACACAGTGCGTGCTTGTATCACGGGTAGGCTTTCTCTCTTGATTCTTAGATCCACAGTTTGAGGCATGTGGTTTTTCAAACAGACTAATTTTTTTCCCCAGCCCCAAAAGGGTTAGAACTCCGCCTGGGGCAACGAGAAGTGGTATTGGGAATCTCACAAACTTTTTGCATCCCAGCCTTGCCATTTGCTGGCTCAGACGTATTATTGATTTAAGTTTCCATCTCTTCATGTGTAACACAGAGATGATGCTTCTTTCACAGGGTTCAGTGAGTTTGAAATGACATGATAAGTAAGGTATGGGGCACAATGTCTGGCACTCAGTAGACACTCAGAATGTGCCAGTCTGCTCCCCTTCTCCACACAGCATGCCAGAAGGTAAAACATCATAATGTCAGCTAAGAGTTAGATGTATAACTTAATGATCTTGGCAGGAGCCATGAGCATGGTAGATTCTCAGTAAATGTTCTTTGTTTTAAAAAAGATTTTTGTAATGTTTATTTTTGAGAGAGACAGAGACAGAATGCGAGTGGGTTAAGGGCAGAGAGAGAGGGAGACACAGAATCCGAAGCAGGCTCCAGGATCCGAGCTGTCAGCACAAATCTCAATGCGGGGCTCCAACTCACTGGCTGTGAGATCATGATCTGAGCCAAAGTCAGATGCTCAACCGACTGAGCCACCCAGGCACCCCATGTTCTTTGATTTGGTTTGCTGTAACTTAATCCACGATCTAGGATGCCATAGCACATTGTTACTGTCCAGGTAGCTACCCATACACTCTTACTCTGGATTTCCAAATGAGATGGTCGGTCATTGGAGGCCCTTGCAAGGATGACTGAGGAAAAAGCACCGTTAACAAGGTTGTTTGATTCCCACTTTCCCCAAAGGCTGACCTCATGCTACCCCTGGACAAAACTTTCGATTTAGGGCCGGGGAAGGAGGAGGGAAGGCAGAACCTGGAAAACATTGTTTGGCCCTCTGTGGGTCTGGGGCTGAGATTGGAGTACCTCTGAGGAGACAGGGTCCACAGGCCACCCCAGCCCACATGGCTGTTTGCTCTTTTACTCCAAAGCCTCAGAAAAAATCACATTGCCAGCAATGTCTCCAGGCAGCTCACAAGGTGAGTTATCTACAGGGCATGGTAATCAGGACTCACATCCATCAGACTGTGCCCTGGTCGCTCTCTAGTCCTCCTGTATATTGAATAAGGAGGGCTTAACAGCTATCCAATACTTAGAAATGAAACTTTCTAAACAGGTCATTTAGATTTTGTACGATAGACTAATTACTACATACAATTAGTGAGGCTGTGAGTAGTGCCTGCCTGAGATACTTATCCACTGATGCAGAGAGAGATAAAGTATCTGCTCAACATTTATTGTAAGACCAGTATTGTAATGTTTAATTATCAATATTTTATTGGTACTGAAATGTTGTGATTGGGATGAGTGTGAGGCAGGTAGTGACTTATGGTCCCAAGCCTATCATGAGATTAGCAGCCCAGCATTTCACACTTGCTTAAAATCCACACTGGAATAGTGAGAATAATCAGTCACATTTTCATAATTTTAAGGAGGGAAATGATAATTGCCTTCTTTCTGGGAATAGGGTTGGCCCGTCCTTCTGTATGGCTGGAACGATGAATCTTACAGCTCTGTTCTAGGAGGCAAACACGGGACTGTAGACTCCCTAATCCAGGGGAAGAGAGCCTTGCTCTTCCTGGGTGAAGGAAGTTAGGTCAAAACAGTACATTAAACCCTCCCAGGTCTGTTACGAAAAACCTGTAGTGCTGTGGGTACGTAAGTTTTATTCTTACTAAAAATGCTATTGACCAAGATTTGCAACCCTTCGCCTTTGTGTACTCTGCTGTGACCTAAACTTTACTGAGGTCCTGCTTGATGGTTGTCATCCAGTTGTATTTTGAGTGAACAGCAAATCTTTCATACATGGGGACCATATTTTCAAAGAGGAGACTTTAGAGCAACAACTCCAAAACTTGGAGTGTGTTGCTTTAATCCTGTCTAGGAACTTTTTTAATGTTTAATTTAAACACCTAGCATATTCTGTGGCTGCAGGAGGGGAAGGCAGAAGAGTTTTCTCTAGAGGGTAGCTGGCTTTCCAGCATAGTGTCTGAGCATCGTTAGAAGCAGGCATCTCGTTAGCTAATACATTACACCAATCAAGGAGAGTTATCTTAAGCCACAATTAATCTGCTCCCTGGCATATGTTGATAGGAAAGCATCATGCTGTTTCTTAATTAAAAGCAAACGGATTAAAAATGATTAATAAGAGTATTAAATATTCTCCTAAACTAAAGGCTTTGGGATTCTTGGGTAAATCTAGTTTTTTTTTTTTTCTTTTTCTTTTTTTTCATTCTGAAACCCAAGAAGCATTCATTGTTTTATTTCTTACACCACCACCACCACCCCTCCCCCGCCAAATCTGCATAAGTAAGGGCAAGCGCATAAGTCCTCAAACCCTGGAGAAGTCTAAATTACTGATGATAGAGATGGAAATGTCCCAAGTTTGGGTGGCAGCAGCTAAGAGTATCCCAGTGTATCCAGTCCACATGTAGGGTGCACAGGTGCTGGGACGCCAGAGTGAAGACCACTGCATTGTGGGGGAAACCTCACCACCCACCCCCTTTGTCAGTAGAGAGTGACACAGCACCTCCCTTCCTTCAGAACAAGACACTTCCCTGTCATTTGCCTCAGAGATGGCAGAGTCCTGACGGAGGCACAAAGAAGTGGGAAGACTCACTCAGGCTTACACTGGCGTGGCCATCCCACCCTAAGAGAGCTGATCTTTGTAGCCGTGATTCAAACAGAGACAGGCACCTTGGGCGCCAGAAAAAGAACTGCACAAAAGGACCAGAAAAGGTGCACTGCTGACCCTTAATCCTGGCCTCCTTAATCCTTCAACTGTGAAGAACTCCTTAAGAATTTTTAGAAACGTGGAAGTCAATTACATGACATAATAAATAATCAGTCACAGCTAACTCACCAGCTAAGTTAGAAATGAGGAGGTGAGAGTCTGCAAGGAACCATTACTTTAGAAGGCATGAAATAAAATGTTAGGAAACCACACAGTGCTCAGTTTCTGACTGCGTGCTGCCCTCGAAGGGTGTGAAGAAGACGTTCCCTCTGTGCCTCACAGGTCCTGAAGTTCCAACCATGGCTCCTGCACCTTTGCTTGTATACAAGGTTTCCTGAGCCCATCTCAAGCCTCAAAGCCTCTGAGAGTCCCTGATGCACCCACCTATTAAATTACAGCGCCAAACTCATTGTCATTCTGGCTTTGACTTCGTTAGTGATAACAGAGAAGGATAGCGCACCTTTAAATGACGAGCTTTGTGTTTAATTACCCAAACAAAATGACATAAATATGAATGAGCCCTAATGGTGGTACTTGGTTTTCCGGAAACCATTAACAAAACGATTCCTAAATGATTTGTAAAGAAAATGAGAGGAGAGGAGAGGAGAGCAAGGAGAAGGCTATTAGGTTTCTAACACACTCCTGAATTATTATGTAGTCAACTACCTAGGAAATACTCAGCTAAATGATCTCGAAAAAAAGGAGGCACAAGGTGGTTTGTTTAGACTTTCAGGGTTACAGATACCTTGCCCCATTGGAATACTCTCATAGAGAGTAAAATGGGTAGGTTTCTGACCTAGTGGCTCTCCCCTAGTAACAAGACTTCCCACACGTCAGTACCCCTCCGTGCCCTGTTGAAAGACTTCCACAACCAGGCAACACATCTGCCACCCTGGCAGGGGCCAGAGACTTACATTTTAAGAATTGTGTCTTACTTCCTCAGAAAAGACACCTTTCATTTTTTTTTTTTTAACGTATGTTGACTTTATTTTGTAAGTAAACTCTACGCCCATGTGGGACTTGAACTCATGACTGCAAGATCAAGAGTTGCATGCTGTACTGACTGAGCCATCCAGGTGCCCCTCAGTCAGCACTTTACTGAACAATTTGGGCTTTTTACTGTTTCTCTCAAGTCCATCAGGCAATTACCTTGTCTCATTCAGCCTTTGTGGAATAGGTGGAGACCTAGAATGATAGGACTTGAGTCAGTATGAGCACTAACATCTGTAGGGGCCCATGTGGATGCTTCAAAGATGCATCTTGTACCAAAAGAAGGAAAAGGAGAATGAGGAAAGCTCCTGTCCTGAGACCTCTTTCCTCTTACTATTGTAATGCCAGCAATAGTGGAGAATCATGAACAACTTATTGTGCGGTGAACAAGCTTTTGGAGTGAACTTTCCAGATAGTGAACAATCTGGGTGTCCAGCCTGGCCTGGCCCCAGGTGTTTGACCAGGAGTCGTCTTTTTGCAGGCCTATGTTTGGGACAATAACAAGGATCTAGTGGAGTGGCTGGAGAAACAGCTGACCGAGGAAGATGGTGTTCGCTCAGTAATCGAGGAAAACATCAAATACATCAGCAGAGACTATGTCCTCAAGCAGATCCGCAGGTGAGACCCTCTGTGGGAGGGCAGGCAGCGGGGGTTATGTAGGAGAAATTGGGCTCGCTTCTTTGGAAGGAGCAAAGATTTAAGGACAAATCATGAAATGATGCCTTACAATCTTTGTGGTTTCTTTCTGTTTGAGACTGCTATAGTTGACCCACAGATAAAAATAGAGCCTTGAAATACAATTCTTTCTCAGCTACTGGTCCCTAGGGGCACTTAGTAATCTCAGCTAGATGAGGGCTTAGTTCATTGTGCCCAACTATTAGCTCCAAGTGCAGATCTTGTGAGAAAAGCTGATTTCATGGCAGTTTCTTGGGGAACTACCTCCTCCCCTCCTTGAGCCAAGAGTTAGCTATATTCTTGAGTCCAGTCTTCTCGATTGAATGGATGGGGAGACTGCTGGGGACATTTTTAAATGTCAGTGCAGAGAACAAATCTGTACCCAGATGGACCTGTTACTTGCATTTTATCCCATTTGCTTTATCATTTGTGAGGGTGCTTGCTCTCATATATATATATATATATATATATATATATATATATATACACACATACATATACACATATATATATATACATATACACACACATATATATATACATATACACATATATACACACACACACAAACACACACACACACGCACCTTCCTATATGCCTATTAAGGATAAGTTACATAGATCATGGCCCATCATGGCCCTTTACCCCAGATACAAAAGTGTGCATTTGCTAATGTGGATATTCTCTTACATAACCACAGTAAGATCAATTTTAGTAAATTTAACACCGAGAGAATCTCTTATCTCCTCCACCATTTGTAAGATGTTGCTCCTTTTGATTTTGTCTGGTGTTTTCTCATGATTAGATTCAGGTTATACACTCTCCGCTGGAATATTACATACATGAAGTGGCCTTCACAGGGTACCAGATCTGGACACCTGATGCCATCTGTCCCTCCTGACATTAGAATCACCTGGCCAGGATGTTACTCAGTTTCTCCACTATGTAATTACTGATTTCCCCCCTTGCACCTAATAAGCAATCTGTGGGTAGACACTTCGAGACCATGAAGATACTCTTGTTACCAGGATTTCCCCCTGGATCCCTGGTGACTCTTGTCTGATCCCAGACAAGTTTACAAAAGGGTAACTTTCCAACTCTACAACCTTCACAGTCCCCATTCCAGCTGTCTTGTAAGCAGAAAGTCTTCTCTCCTCCTAGTCATGTATGTATTCATTAGTCTACACCAGTCATGAGTTTCTATTTTTTTTAAATAATTTGCAATTTATTATTATATTTACTTCGATGTCCAAAATGTCCAAGACTTAGCCAGTGGAAGCATCTTTGTGCCAGTTCCACTTTTTTGTGACGTACCCCCATTGTTTGTTTATGTAATTCCTTACTTCCTGACATTTCAAAATGGGTCCAGTCCATCTTGTACCTGCCTTGCTGCTGGGGACTTTTTTCATGTAGGAAAACAAATCAGGTAAGGTGGTGACTGAAGTGTCTGCAGTGGATTCTGTTAGATTATTGGGCAGTTCTTAAGCCACCCTAATCCAGACACTGTTGCCTCTCTTTTCTTTACCATCCCAAATCTTCCTCTCTAGCTTGGTACAGGCCAATCCCGAGGTTGCCATGGATTCCATCGTCCATATGACCCAGCACATCTCACCCACTCAGCGAGCAGAAGTCGTACGGATCCTCTCCACGATGGACTCCCCTTCAACATAGAAAGAGCTTCCTGCCCATCCCTGCCCTGCCTCTGGAGAAAAGGGCTAGAGCTGCCTCTTATGCCTGAAACCACTCTGATGAGAAGGCACAGGAGACCCAGCACTGGAATCAAAGTGGCATTTTGCTTCCCCTTGAACGTTTTCAGGTTATGCATGACATATTGGGACATAGGGTCACAAAGTCCCCACTGGTCACACCCATCCCGTTCAGTATTTATTACCCTGTCTGTGACTGCAGCTCTTTCTCCCTGCAAGGACCCGAGAAGGCAATGAAGGGTACAAGCATGTACCATGAGGTCTCACTACACAAAGCAGGGCTGCTGCTTCTGTCCATACAGCTACTTGGTCCCAGCCCAGGGAGGTACTCAGCAGCCCTTCCTCACCCCTGGCCCCATGAGCCTGCAGCCACGGGCAGCAGAGGAGGGCTGGAGTGAGGAGGAAGCCTCGAGTCCACGGTTTTTTTTACCCCCACATTCAGCCTGGTACACACTAGGTACAGGAGAAGAATAGTTCCCAACTTAATCACACCAAGGTACCTATTTATCCTTCATGGAGTATGAAATCTGCAAGCTCCATAGGAACTCGAAGATGAGGGCAAAACCACGATCCAAGAAGCAGAGAAAAAAAGGTAGACCAAGTCACTGCTGTTGATTTAGGGACCTCAACTGTGGGTTTGATTCTCTTAGAACAAACAGAAGGACAGTTGACCTACCACTACTTTGCCTGTCACTGCTTAGTTCTCTGCTGCACCTGCTGGGAGCTGCACAGACAGCGCGAGAGCCGGAGCCGGCAGAAGAAGAGCTGGGGGAGTGACCTTTCTGTCACTACTGGAAAGTTAGTTACTCATGCCACAGGGAGAATGGGCTGGATAGTCTCTCATTTTAGGACTTGTAAGGTTATTACTATTAAGCCTGGAGCTTTGATAGTTATAAAAGGTTAATAGTGCCTACAGAGTCACTCAGCTCTTTTTCCAGGGCAACTCTCCCAGCAGCGGACGTTCCTACTTCCTTTGGGTCTTGTCTCTCCCTGGAATGTCCACAAGTAGCAGGTGTAGCCAGTCTCCCCACAGCTGCTGAAAGGAACCCTGGTGACATCTCTGTTCTGAGCACCAGGAACTGGCCTTCCCCGGTGTGAGCAGGCTTCCAGGGAACACGGAATCCACATGACCTTAAGATTACCTACAACTCCGTCATGGTGCTGCTGTCTTCCAGGCTCACCGGTCCCTCCCTGGCCAGCGGCAGGGGCCTCCTCACCAATGGTAGAGTTTATTTTCAACAACCTGTTTATTCAAAGAAAGAGTTTATTGATTCCCCCGTTGGTGTTCCTAAAGCAAGAGTGGCAGGTGATCAGGGCTGGTGTAGCATGCAGTTCTTACAGTGCAGCTAATTGCATTTGTCACTGATGACCAAGGAGGAAATAAATCACTAAGATGTTTTGGAAGTGGTGGTATGAATACTTTCATACAAGCTACAGTTTTGAGCCTTAACCCTACAGTACACGCACAAGAAAGAGCCCCCTTCTTCAGGAACTGCTTGTGCACATGGGCACTGTGTAGCTGGATACATTACTGACTGCCCTCTGGAACTCGGAGCTTCAGCCAGGCTGCCCTGATGCAAGGTGCAGGTGTTGAGCATCATCAAAGAGGGCAGAAGAAGGTGAGGAACAATGTTCGGTCCAGATAGAAGCATCCACTGTGGCTGGTATCCGCTTAAGTAAAAACTGGATTCATCTTGGACCAGATTATACTTTTCTGCAATTAGTAAAATCTACCTGTAGGTGGTACAAACCCCCTGCACACCCCAGCTGGCCTGTGCTTGCCCTGGCTTTTCTTCAGAGGCAGGGTGGGTTATATTCGTGTTACCAATACCTGTTCACCAAATTATTATTCAGTAAGTGAATATGGTTCCTCTCTAAAAGTCTGTGATGCCTACTCCCCCATCCCCAGAGCACCTCACTGTAGGTCTTACCCCAGACAGGAATTTTTCATGCAGAGAAGTCAGGAAGAGCCATAGAATGTGAGCAATCTGATATCCCCCAGCCCATTATATAGGCAAGGTTACTGAGCTAGGAGGAGTATAAATGATGTATTGAACAAGACTTACTTGAGCCGAGATCGCCATATTCACTTCATTCACAAAGCAGCCTTCACTTGTCTCGTTGAGCATACAATGGACACATACCCTGATGAGCAAGGAGCATCAGTCAAATGTATTCTTTCCACGTTTTGTTGAAATAAACCTCCACATTTGTAGAAGAGTCCCTGTTTGTCATTTCGACCCACGCCCAGCCACCGCATTCATGTTCTACTTTAAGCGGGGAGCTTTCAGCACTGGTAGGCTGAGCCGCTGCTCTGCTGCTAAAAGCTGAGCCATTATAGTGACAGAACAGCATGCATGCATTGCTTCTGCAAAGTGACATCTTTGAGAGACTTGGAGGCTTTTCAGATACACATACCCTTGATGGCCTGGGCAGTTTCAGGGGTGTTCTTAAAAGGAACATGAAGATTCGAACCTCTTGGTTTACATGATTTTGTGGGATTTTCTGGGTCAAGTGAATAGTGAACCATATTCAGAGCTCACCTCAGGCCAGTTTTATGGAGAGGTAGATTCTCTTAATAATTTAGCTGCTTAATGGATTTTGAATGCTAACTTTGGGCACAAAAAGGCACCAGGAGCAGGAAGCTCATGCTTGTGTACCTTCAACCCTCTGCCTCTGTTTCTCTCTAAATCCATGTGGTTGAAGCAAGAACAAACACCAGTCCCCAAACATTTGCAAAGAAAAGTGGAGGCCACAAGAGATCAGGAAGGGGAAGCACTGGCCTTTGCTAATTATTAAACTCGGCATGGTGTGTCTGTCTCTCTGGGATGTTTAGCAAAGCAAAGGGTGTTTTTTTTTCTAAAATGAAATGTTTATTTTAAATATACTTTATATATATTTACTTTATACATATACATAATATGTTGTAAATATACATCCATTTGAATCACCCTAAGGTAGAAGTTCTTAGAGTAAGAAGGGAGATCCAGGAGGAAAATTGCTACTCTTTGCCTCCAGCTGCCGCAGGGAATCCTGGTCAGCACAGAGGCCTTGAGCCTTCTTTCCTCCTCCCTAAGCAGGCAGATCAAAAGCAGACCCCAAGATGTGAACTTTAAGCTGTCCTTGTTCTCAGCTCATATCTGCTGGTGCTTCTGGGAATGGTCAGCAGGAAGAATGGGAAAAGATTCTGCTCCTGCCTCTGGGAACTTGTCTGACACATACAGTGCTTTCTTTTGTAGGGGAGTGCTATTTCTTTCACTGGTCTTTTTCATAAAATTTAAAACCTCCACTGGTACTACTAGAATCGTGAGAAAAGCTTGAACAGCAGGGATTCTGTGATCTAGTCCCAGGCCCACCTACATTTCCCCAACTGAAAAACAAGGACACAGGGATGAATACAGGTGTCTAATGACCATCACGGAGGACCCTAACAGTGCTCCTTCCAATGTGTAGGGCTTGGTGAGAAGCCTGAAGAGGAACTGAGCTGGGAAGTGAACATTCACGCCAATGCTAGACTTGACCTGGGCAGAGGAAGGGCACCAGTTGAGTCTGCCTGATCTACAAAGTAGGGCAGAAAGTAGTAAGGGCCACATGAGTGGTATGGACAATTAAGGGCTGAAGCCTCCTGGTAGAGAGCAGTTTCCAGATGGGAAAGGAAGGCAAGGTGTCTCAAGTCAGGGCACACACATTTGCCAGGTTATGAAGGGACACTTCCTAGTTGGAAAGGAACAGCATTGCTCTGGGGGAGGATGAACAATGATACGTGAAAAAACAAGCAGCTGACAGACCATGGATTTAAATGCTAGGCCAAGGAAGAAGATATGTCCTGGAGAGAGTGGGAAACTGTTGGTGGTCTGGGGCATGGGAAGACCGGGTACAAAAGTTTAGAAAGCAGCATAACCGTGAAAAGACCACCAGCTTGGATGCCAAGAAATCTAGCTTCAAGCCCAGTCTCATGTGTGTATGTCACTGAGCTGGGGGTCACCTAAGATAGTAAGTCCAGGACACCCCAGGAGGCATAGAGATAATAAACTGTCAGCTATTTTCAATACTCCAGAAATCCCACGTGTCCTTAGGCAGCTAAGGCTCACCATGATCTCTGAAGACAGTTTTGCCAAGCCAGCTAGTACTGGCTACCTCATCCTGGCCAGAAGTTCCAATGGGCAGTTAATGATAAATAATGGGACCAGGACATCATCACAAATGCATGTTTGAGTAGGCAAAATCTTCAAAACCAGGATTCCCTGAGGTTGCAGGGGGTGGAAGGAACTGGGGGTGGGACATAATGGCACCTCAGCTCCGAAAGGACTCAGAACCACCCAGTGGGCTCTGCTCATTGGGAACTGTAAGGAGAGGAAATAGAGTGTAGTTCAGAGATTGTTGTATGACGGGCTTAATCCCATTCTGATCCTGTCACTGGTTTTCTGGAGTGAGCAGGAAGGACTGGGAGTAAGGAGAGACCGAAATAACTAACGACGTCCAAGCCCTGAATTAGGAAAAAGCTAACAGAGCACTCTTGTCCGTGCTAACACAGAGAGATATTTTCGTAGCCACTTAAAAGAGCATAGACTGGGGGCATCTGGGTGGCTCGGTTGAGCGTCCAACTCTTGATTTCCGCTCAGGTCATGGTATTGAATCCCACATCAGGCTCTGCACTGAGTGTGGAAACTTAAGATTCTCTCTCTCCCCCTCCCTCCCTCTACCCCTCTCCCCTGCTCTCTAAAATAAAATTTTTAAAAATTCTAAAAATAAAAGCATAGACTTTGGAATAAGCCTGAGCTGTGTTCAAATATCCAGTCCCTCCCTCATTCTTGTTCTTTGGAAAAGTTCCTGCCTCCTTAATGTGTGAAATATGGATAACAAAGAACTCAAAGGGGCTTTTTGAAAAATTATCTTAAGTCAGTTGATATGAACCAAGCAGTGAGCATTAGTAGCAAATTCTCAGCATATGTTAGGGTTCTCCAC